TGTAGGGACTGTGTATTTTGTGGGTAAAACTCAGCAACCAATTGCACACAGCGACGTCCCACAAACAGTCATGGATTAAGTGACCAATTATTTTTTTAAGGGATTAGCAATCTGCCAATCAACTAACAAACGGGTTCCTACTTACTGCTCGGTAAACAGGCTTGTGCATGTGTAGAGTAAGGAAACTTGCCTAAGGTTTTGCCTCGTCCCGCTGGGAAATTGAACCCAGATTATTATGGTAATTTAATGTTCCACCTTTTTGATCTGGTTAGTGGGTAGAAGCCTTACAACCCCCAGCCTTACTCACAGGTAAGATCTCTTACAAGTGATCTCTCTCAGTTCGGACGCAGGCAAAGAGTAAGCACAGACCTACCTGATTAGTAATTCGGCCACATCTCTGCAAGTCATTTCCGGATGCCATGGCAATAGCTGTGGCGATGGCTGGTGGGGGGCTGGTCTTCAGGCTGTTACATGTACAGATCAGTTGGGAGAAAGCCAAAAGCACGTCAATCCTCAACTTGACAAATTCACATTGAAATGTCAGGGGGTTGGAAGGGGTGCTGGCAGCCTGAAAAATAGCATCCAATAAAGCTAGTGATTGCAACGCTTTTAAAAACCTATACCATAATAACGTTTATAAACTGTAGGAACGACAAACTCCTATGTCATGAACAATGCTTAAATGAGAATGGGAAATTGAGGGGACTTGCTTGGTGTTTCAGCATATCTGAAATTATAACCTGCACTGGGTGATATGAAAGAGCTAGACAGCTGGAGCTTTGGGAGTTCATGGTTTATGCAAATATCCTACAGGCATTACTCCTTCTACTCTTCTATGAGCTTGGCATACTCAAGAACAGATCACATATCCAAGCCATACTCAATACGTGTCTGACTCTATCTGACAGCACTTTACCATATACAATCCTGCAATGGTCCCAGTGGCATTCTATTTAGAGACCATAAAGGAAAGTTGGCTTCGGGAGTAAAGGAATTCAGCCACTTGCCTTCAAATAAATGTGCTGGACCATCCTGGGCCCATTAAAACCCGCAAGACCCAAGCAAAGTGCGGGTCTGCTACATTACTATTTATTTACTTACTTATTTACTTTGCGACTTTGAATGTGACTTACAGTCAGGGAGGCTATGCCTCGCTGGTAGTACTTCAGAGCTTCAGCGATTGAGGTCAGTGCGGCACTTGACTCGTTGTCCTTCAGTCCGGCCAGACATTGCTCGGCTTTCGAGAATTCCTTCAGACTGTTGAGCCAGAAGTAAAAATGCTCAGAGGCCACCTGTGTCAGCAATCCATGGTAAAGCTCCCCAGCCATGTCGTGGTTTCCCTAGAGTATCACATAGCAGGTAGATCATGAAATATAGTCCATTCACTGTACATACATTCTGTGAAGCGCTTTGAGACGCCTCAAAGACATGATAAGATACTATATCAAATGCAAGGGTTATTCAAATGCAAGGACTATTATTTACACTACCCTGAACTGGAATAGACCAGACATGGGAGCAGTATTCTATTCTTGGTGGGGAAAAACAGGGCTTTATAGAAAGTTAAGAATTTTGAGGGGGAAGAAATAAATGTTTGGTGTTAAAAGAGAAAACCCCTTTTGTTTTGAAGATGGCTTCAGCAATGGAAAGGAAGTGACCATTTCATCTGATGTGAGAGGCGACAGTGTGGCTGAGAATGTCGGTAAATAATCAAGATTAACCTTGTGAGGAGAAACGAGGGAACTTCCTAACAAGAACTCAAGAAGCAGTACGTCTCATCAGAGAGAGCTGAACATTTAGCAACGGAACGCACTGCACGGCAAGGAAAGGACACGCGCATCAGGACAAACAACACGAAGGACGTTAATGAATATCATGTGCGTTTGGTTTTGCCGAAACCATTTGAGTTCATCAAGATCCTCCTGGAAAATCTGTACAGAAAAACATTACATAAAACATCACTGGGTCAAGTGTGGCTCCCCTCACCATTCTGGATGCCTGCCTTGCTATCTTGTAAACCGTCCAACTGTTGGCTACGTTTTCCAATTGTTGATTGATGACACTTTTGACCTCGGAGGACAATGTTTTCTGACTGGCTACAAAAATGACTGTAGCCAGTGCTACCTGATGAGGAAGAAGAAGAACTCTGGGTTCAAGCAGAAATAAAATGAAAAGAAACTGAAGTCATTTTGAAGTAATTTGAGGGAGGACAAGTAGCAATGATCTTTGGTGCCCTTGTGCAATGGGAAATTCACGAAGGACCTAAAGATACAAAGAATGTATGCTATTATTCTTTTCCCGGGGGTGATAATCCCTTTTAAAAATAATATGTAATTTGGTCACTTCAATCCATGTTTGTGGGACAGACGCTGCTGTGCGCAATTGGCTGCTGGGTTTCTCCGACAACATATGCAGTCAATTCACTTCACAGTATATTCTGTGAAGCGCTTTGAGACGTCTCAAAGACATGATAAAGCGCTGTATCAAATGCAAAGATTATTATGACATTAGTTTTCATCAGATAATCATGTTTGAACAACACCCTCATATTTTGGAAAAGGATAACAAAACAAAGGCTGCCTTGAAGACAAAACACAATCCAGTTTAGTAATAAAAAAAATATTCATTTGTCAAAAGAAAACCCTGCAGCAGAACCCCTTGAAGGTTGGAGGTTTCACTGGCCTGAGAAATTGGATGCGTTTCTCAGACAAACACGTCTCCTCGTAATTTGAAACTAACTATTTGATTGCTACCCTCTTGTTTTAGCATTTTTGAAACACGATAACATTAGGTGCCAAAAAAGAGATGGCAAAAACACACCAATAGCTATTTTGCCAGGGGCTAGATAGATAAATAAGAAATGATTTGAGTTATACAGGACCTTCCAAGTAAAATAAATGTCTTGCAAGCAGTATATAAAAGAAAACCGATTACAATGCGTAAATGAAAGTGGATAGTGTTATATGGGCAAAGGCTAGTGATGGAACAGCCCATGTAATCCAACCCTTCGCTTTCCATTGACCGTGTGTTTAATCCATTCTAATAGTCACCGAGAGAAGGAGGAGGGGGGAGATTTTTTTTTATATTCGTTAAACCGATTAAAGGAAGTAGGAGAAATACAAAGCAGTGTTCGCTCTGCCAGTGCCTTCATTACCTGCGATAGGGAGTAAACAACGCCCAGTTTGAGACTCATTTTCACAAGTCAACATTAATAATAATAATAATCCTCACATTTGATGTAGATTTGCTTTTCACGTCGGGAGGACGTCCCAAAGCGCTTCAACAGAACACACTGTAAAGTGAACATTCTTGAATCTGGATGGACCTTGGAAGTTTTATTTTTTCTGGTGTGTGTGTGTGTGTGCATTTGTGCTGATTGTGCCTATATTCTGTATTCACTGCAAAATTGATAATTGCAGCTGGTGGCTGAGTCAAGAAAGATTAATCTAAACTTGCCAGTCTAAACTTTTTTGTTGGGATTCCCCCCCTCTCGCTCTCTCTCTCTCTCTCTTGTACAGGGCTGTGAAGTGATTCATAATTATAGCTTTCCCAAGAACACGCCAATTACAGTGAATGGAGGATTAATATTCACCTCTTTTCATTTATCGGTTTGGGAAGGGGCGGGTGGAAGGAGCAACAGGTTTTTTTTTAATTCAGTAAAAATAATCCCAAACTATTTCTGAACTGCACCAGCAAAGTTTCCCCCCACCCCCCCCCCCCCCCAAAAAAGAAATAGTTGAACATTGCGTTTTGAATTCACTTTGGTTGCCGAGACCGGTAGGTTCAGCACCAGCCCAGGAATTGGATTCAGGTGGTTCATGTTAACCAGTCGTGCAGTTTCCATGTATAAGATGCAGTGTTTTTGCAAATAATCTCCAGTCTATTATGAGTGTAAATCCCGTAAAGAACAACAACTTGCATTTATACAGCGGCCAGCACACCCGACATCGACTCGGAGCGCTTAACAGTGGCCAAGGCCTGGCCGGGGCGGGGGGGGGGGGGGGGAAGGTGACAGTAGGCACGGTCGAAGAGGAAGGTCTTCAAGCCCGACCAAAAAAATGGGGAGAGAGGGGGCAAGGCGAAGGGAGAGAGGTCCACAGCTTCGGGACGTAGCTGATGGTGGGTCAGAGGTTCCGGTGGGGGGGCACGGAGGAGGCCGGAGCCAGTGGAGCTGAGGCAGCGGGCAGTGGTGTAGGGAGAGCGTGGGTTGGAGGGATAGTGGGGAGCCGGGCGGGGTGAAGGGATTTAAGTACAAGAGCGAGGATCTTGAAATCGATCCACTGTGTGACAGGGCTAAAGCCAGTGGGGTTTGAAGTGGTAAAAGGTGCAAGTTATTCAGTAAGTTCAGTGCTTAAGGCCGATGTTTGGGAGGTGTTTTTGTGACCCAGGTGCCCAGTTCATTCTGAAGTGCGTTGTTGTATTGACATTATTGTTTTTCTTTTAAAAAAATCGGCATATTTTAAAACCTTGTGGTGTTCGGTGCTGTCGTCGTGTTTGCAGGCTTTGGCAGCTGCTCGCCCCATTTTTTTAGTAATTCCACACCTTTCGTGTCAGGCTCTGTGACTGTTGAACATTTGAAAGTTTCCGAACGCAAAATACTGCAGAGGCTGGAAATCTGAAACAAAAAACTGAAGTCGCTGGGAAAACTCAGCAGGTCAGGCAGCATCTATGGAGAGAGGAAAGCCAGAGTCAACGTTTCGGGTCTCACTGGAGATTATTGGCAGTTCTGACGGAGGGCCGCGGACTCGAAACTTTGACTGACTTTCCTTTCTCCGTGGATGCTGCCTGACCTGCTGAGTTTTCCCGGTTTTGTATTGAAGAGTAATCTGATCTTTGAATTGTTTTAAACGGGTACCATTTTGCTTTACGGAGTCATAGAATTGGAGTTTGTAGAGTGAGTGCGTGTGTGTGTGTGTGTGTTGAGTCTGTGCTGGGCTCATGCCCTGCCGAAGGTATCTGCTGCTCTTAAATCCATTTCCCTGCTCTTTGTGCGTTCCCTTTAAAATAAAAATAACCCCTTGCATTGGATATAACAACGACAACAAGATTACATTTGTATAGCGCCTTTCACGTCGGGAGGACGTCCCAAGACGCCTCATCGCGTCTTCGAGACGTCTCAAAGCGCTTTTATACCATTATTCTTTCCAAGAGTTTCTCTGATTCCCTACTTTTTCAGTGATGTCGTTGGCTTGAGTTGGCACTTGGAGCAATAACCGCCAAAAAAAAATGTTCTGTTTCAAAGTCACGCTGTTAAGCAACTGCTTAAATGTATTTAAGGAGATGGAGGCCCTAAGCTGTGCAATGGACATTTTTATATGAGTAAACAGCTCCATCACTCACTGGTCCCATCTTCTTCAGCTTATTGTCACGGGAGTGGGGCAGAAAACAAGAGTCAATCCTGGCAGAGAATCGACTAACTCCACATAGATTTGGGAATAGGCAAGGCGCCTTCCTGGTTTTTGTGACTCAGTTGACCACAAGCATCTCAAAATAATTAAGGGTGTTGCTGGCTTCAGGGGGAAGCGCTGAGTGCATCCCTGATCGATGGCTCCTTTATATGGCGTAATCTGCACAGTTGCGGGCAGGCTGTTGCTTTCAGTGTGACCCAACTCCTTCCTTTCGGAGCCTGTTCGCCAGGCGTCAAACAGCTTTGGTGTGGCGTCTCTTCTCACACCGGTGGACAAGACGTCCATTTTTGTATATTCCCCGATGTTGGTGTTAGTGGTGTGTCTCCCGTTGGCTGCCACGTTTCTTCTGAAACTGAGTTGAACACGATCTCCGGTCAGCATCGTTCAGCTGAGAACTAACTTTAGGGGCTTTTTAACGTAAGGGAGATGCCATTAACCCCGCTGCATGCTTTCTTGGATACATTCACCAAACGCCAAATGTTTACTCTGTGGCCGCGTATTTGTTGCACTTTAATACACTGAACGCTTTGTTTCCCCCGGCAGGCGCAGGCAGAAGAGGAAGGAAGAGGCATGGCACTAACGTTAAAAGACATACCGAACATCAGCTGGATATTGGTGAAGGGGACACTCCGATTTATATTTATGGTCGCCAACAACCTGGTTGCGATTCCGTCCTACATTTTGTACCTCATCGTCCTGCAACCGTTGAGGTTATTTGACAGAAAACTGTTCTGGAGCGTGGAAGGAGTGATGTTTCGATGGCTGCTGGCGATGGTATCTTCGTGGGGCTGGACAGCAGGCTACACAGGTAAGGACGGAGAGGAATGCACTCGACATTTCGGATCTTTGGTACACTTTGGCTTTGCTCTTGCTGCATCCAGTCGAGGTCAAGCCTTTCGATACACAGTTCAGGTTCGGTGGACCTTTGTGCGCGAGGGTGGTTTCACAAGTACTTTGTGCGGTTAAACAGCTAATGATTATAACCTTTGTTTCCTTCCCCCTCCGCATCGCCAGAGTGGGAGGGGTGGGGGTGTGAGGAACTTAGTGTAGCCTCTTGCTTCAGTGCTGCTCTGTCACTGGCTCCCAAGCTTGTGATGTATTCTGGTTGTTATTGCCTAACTCCTTTCGGTGGTTGGGTGCGGATCGGGAAGGCTCGAGAGAAATCCCTGGAGAAGACAGTTGGCCAGAAACCGTTCTGTCTCGGGCAAAACCTGTTTCTCCGCAGTGTCCCCCCCCCCCCCCACGCCCACCCCCACCTCCCTGTGTGATTCCGGAGGGAATGTATGACAGTGGGAGCTGCTCTGGAGGAGACAGCTGTACGTTTTTGTTCTGTGTGATATTGTAGTCGCTTCCTCTTTCTGAGTTTCGGTGAAATATACCCCAGTGCCCCGGTGCAGCTGTGACATCTTTGTGTGATTCAATGCTTTCGAGCGCTCCGGGACCCTACCCGGCGTGAAGGCCGCTATATAAATGCAAGTTGTTGTTGTTGTGGTAATTGCTAGGAAGAGTGTGACTGTAAGTCTTGGCTGATGCTCCCTCCCTCCCTCCACCCCGCCCCCACTTTGGTCCGGGAGAAATATATTGCCCTCACTTGGTATCTACTTAAAATGCTGTCATTGAGATCTGTAACTCACTGTACAGGAGGTTCAAAGGTACAAACCTTTGTTCTTCATCTTGTGATACGCTTCAAGGGGGTTTAACCACAGGACGTTTCCAATGGTGGGGAACGGTTGCCACAACACCCGTAAAGAAATCACAACCGCCAAGACAATCACTTCAAATAACTAGTATTTAATAATCCTATGTAGTAATAATGATAATAATCCTTGTATTTGATACAGCGCCTTATCACGTCGTCGAGACGTCTCAAAGCGCTTCACAGAATATACTGTAAAGTGGAGTGACTGTCTTTTGTGGGCGAAACGCGGCAGCCAATTGCGCACAGCAGCGTCCCCACAAACAGTCGTGGATTGAGTGAACAAATTATTATAGTTATATTAAATACACAGCCAATGTGTTTCAATCTTGTGATAAGGCGCTATATCAAATGCAAGGATTGTTATTAATAAAGAGTGCGCCATGGCACTTAGCAATGGGAACACTGAACAAGGAGCCATGGATGGGAGGATCTTGGAGGTTGAAGAGAGGAATGGCTGAAGGCATGGATCTTGTTGAGATTTGTTGAAAGTAGCGAGAGATGTAGAGAAGCAAAGTGGTTTTGGAAGAGGGTTTCAGAGGACAAGGCGATAGTGGAGCAGCGGGAGAGGGGAGCGAACCTTAAACCAGAGTCAGAAGAGGCAGACATTAGAGCTGGGACATCAGGAGAAGGTGAGCGATTAATCGCGTCCTTCCTTAAACATTAAGCTGTTTGTTTGGAGATGTTGAAGTGTTATGATCTACTCCATTGCCAATGGAGCATTGGGATGATAGTTTATTAATTTCCCAAGTGAATTCCTAATCTTGCCTGTGTTTCCTGCGAGAGGCCCTCATTGCCTTGGCTCACACATGATTGATTGCCACATGGTACAGTCGGGTGCTAGTGGAACAGTACTGCCAACGCTTTAAATTCAGGGTGAGAAGATCAAGGTACAGATTTCATTTTTGTATTGCAAATGCAGAGAACTGCTTCATTAATACGAAATTGAAGCAAAATTGTTCTTGGATTCATCATCTTTAATTGTGCGTTAATAGCAGAAACAGCAGTTGTGACAGTTCTAACTCGTACTAGTCTGTAACTTTCTCAACAGATATGTTTTACTTCTTCACTAGAATTGTTGAACATGAAAGGAAAAATTGCAATTTTAGAGCGCCTTATCAGGTTGCAAAATCTCAAAAATGGGTAAACATGACACCATTTGTGGGAACAAAACTCAGGAAAAGATCACCAGGGGGAAGTCCCTTCTCTTTTTAAAAGAGTGCAGCGAGATCTTTAACATGCCTGGAATGAGGCAGATCGGACCTCAGTTTAACATCTCCCCTTGAAAACAACAACTACTGCTTGCATTTATATAGCGCCCTTCATGCTGACTAGCGTACCGCAGTGCGTGACAGTGGCAGAGTCTGACCCCCAAAAAAATCCTTACAGTGTTTTCCTAGCATTGCAGTCAGTTTAACCATCAGTGTGATCTCTGAGCTGAAGTCGTGTTGTGTGACTTTCAACCCACAAATTTCTGGCTCCGAGATGAGGTTGGCGCCCCAAATCATTTTGTGAACCTTGCCATGGTGATTGCTGAGAGCATAGGAAGAACTGCACCAATTTGGCTTCCAACGGGCAAACCACAGATTCACAATAGTCTATTGTAAGCTCCGAGAGAGTTTAATTCAGCAAGTGATCATGTTGGGGTAACTGCTACATTCGACATTAACTCTGTTGCTATGTTGATGCTCAATGAAAGGTTTGTTTATTATTATATTGGGAAAAACAAGCAAATTAAAGTACTTGACTAGAATCAATAATAATCCTTGCACTTGATACAGCGCCTGATGACGTATTCGAGACGTCTCAAAGTGCTTCACAGAATAGACTGTAAAATGAATTGACTGTATATCTTGTGGGTGAAACGCGGCAGCCAATTGCGCACAGCAGCGTCCCCACAAACAGTCGTGGATTGAAGTGACCAAATTATTATTATTATTTTTTGAAGGAATTATTATTACTCAAATGGGGGCAGAGGGGTGGGAGTTGGTAAGATGTATTCACTCAGTGCTAAAAATTGGGAGTGAAATTCTCTTTCCGGTATTCTTTTGGTTAATACAGTGAAGAATTCTCGGGAGGTTGGCTTCCTGCCAGCGGAAAGCCTTGTCGGGGCTGGCCGTTGTCTTGGCTCTGAGGAAGGAGTGCCACATGGCACACAGCCATTCTAACCTGAAAGGTCCTGATCACAGACCGACCCACTGCTTACCTCCCTCAGTAGCAGTGAGTCTAGTCTCTTTCTCCCCCCTCCCCGCCTCGGGCCTCCCTCAGCCTCTCGCCACCCAACGAGCGAAAGTCTCTTAAAGCAAATCACCAGATCGGAACTCAAAGCTTGTTGGCAGCACATCAAACGCATAATCAAACGATCTCCCCCAGTCAGATCAGCACCGGATTATTATTTGTTTTTAAAAAGAGGAAACTTTTTACCTTGTTTTTTTAAAAAAACACACACGTAATAATAATAATAATCCTTGCATTTGATATAGCGCTTTTCACGTCGGGAGGACGTCCCAAAGCGCTTCACAGAACACACTGTAAAGTGAATTGACTGTATATTTGTGGGCGAACGCGGCAGCCAATTGCGCACAGCAATGTCCCACAAACAGTCGTAGATTGAAAATGACCAATTTAATTATTGTTTTTAGTTTTGGAGGGATTATTATTAGGCGTGTGGAGTAAGGAAACTTGCCCAAGGTTTCGCCCTGCTTGGAATTGAACTCAGGTCTCTCGCTTACAAAGCGAGTGCTCTAACCACTGAGCTACAGGACTCCACAAACACACGTACAACACAACACACGTAGAACACACACACACACACACACACACACTTTATAGAGAGTTGCACATCTTTGGTGTCCGATGAGGAAGTTGCACGAACACTCTTCAGACTGTTCAGATGTGAAAGTTGTTTTGTTGACCCATTTGTTGACACATGGGGCTCGGACAGGGTTTGTGTGTGAGTAAAGGCTGAGGTATACATTGCCAGCCCCGTGCGTATCCAGGAATGGCGTCTCTGAGCGCTGCCCAGTGTCGCAGGTGGATGGCACGTAAAGGGGAGGGGGAGTTGACCGTAGCCCTGGACCCAGAGGTAGGTCGTCAGGTGCGATTTAAAGACGGGTAGTTTCTTGCCCAAGTGGTCATTGTTGATATGCCGGGTTCGACACAGTCGACCACTCCATCCTCCTCCACCTCAGTGGGACCGCACTCGCATGGTTCGAGTCTGACTTAACCATCTCGGCCAATGGTTTTGCCTCTCGTCCCCGCCTGGTCACCTGCGGGGTAGCCCAGGGCTCCATCCTTGCACCCCCCCACCACCCCCCACTTCTTTTCCTCATTTATACGCTCCCTCTGGGTGATGTCATCCACAGACACGGGGTCAACTTCTACATGTACGCGGACGACACACAAATCTACTCCTCCTCCAGCTGCGACTCCCAGCCACTGATATGCTGTCGGCTTGTTTGACGGGCATCAAGGCCTGGATCAGCACAAATCTCCTGCAGCTGAATGTTGGCAAAACGGAAGCCATACTCTTTGGCTCCCGTCAACATCGTCTCTCGTGGGGGTCTGAACTCCTCACCCTCCCCGGGCTCTCCCTCAGACTCTCCGAACCTGTGAGCATCAGACGTCTGGTTCGATCCCTAGCTTTCCTTTCTTCCCCACATCCGATCCCTGACCAGGATCCACTTTTTTCCACCTCCATCCACGCCTTTGTCACTTCCCGGCTGGACTATTCCATCGCTCTCCTCGCTGGTCTCCCCAGCTTCATCATACACAAAATCCAATTAATTCAAAACTCCGCTGCCCGGAAATTCACTCCGTACCCCCGTCTCACCAGCCCTCGCCAGGCTCCACTGGCTCTCAATCACCGAATGGATAGATTTCTAGATCCTCTCGCTCGTTTTCAAAACGCTTAAATCCCTCGTACCTCCCTACCTCTCCGACCTGCTTACTCCCCACTCCACCACCTTCTGCCTCTGCTCGGCTGGCTTCAGTCTCCTGTTTGTACCCTGTGCCCTCTGCTCCACCATCAGTGGCCGTGCCTTCAGTCACTATGCGCAGAAACTCTGGAACTGTCTCCCTCAATCTCTCCTCCTTGCCCCCTCATTCCCCAA